GGTAGGTGGTTAATATAGAAAGGTATGAGGTGGGTGACGGTTGATGAGAAAGGTAGGTGGTAAATATAGAAGGGTATGAGGTGGGTGACGGTTGATGAGAAAGGTAGGTGGATAATTTAGAAGGCTATGAGGTGGGTGACGGTTGATGAGAAAGGTGATGGTTAATTTAGAAGGGTATGAGGTGGGTGACGGTTGATGACAAAGGTGGGTGGTTAATTTAGAAGGGTATGAGGTAGGTAACGGATGACTAGAATGCTCCGTTCAAGGAGTGGCGGCTGCCGCGTGTGTGGGTACAATGCAAATGTGGTTATACTATATGGAGTGTGCCTATATACAACACATATATACACGAATCCCCCCCTCCATGTAGCGAAACCGTTTACAGATACATGGCTCTGTGTGTACCTGGAAGGCACTTAGCCCCTCAATACAAGGATGACATTCAGTCAGTGCATACACTCACACAAATAGCACGCAAATATGCACCTAGACAGTGCTCCCGATGTGGAAATACAAGCACCACACATGTGTGGGACATGTGTCTCTACTAACACCAGACCTATCAAAAAAAAACACAACTACAACTACAACTACATCCACACCCACAACCACCCACACAGAGCTGTGTAAAGAAACAGCGTATACCAACCTCGGATAACAGTAGGCTCCAGCTTCTGCTCGTCAATGAACTTCTTAAACTGCAGTGCGCGGTACGACAGATTAGCCGCACGCGACACCTGCACAGGGGTGGCCTCGTAGTAGTACAGTCCGTTGACATAGTAGTTACTGTTGATCATGATAGGCGAGCGCCCACGGAGATACACGTACTTCTCCCACCAGTCCGTCACGTAGTTGTCCGTGAGCCAGGACTTGAGCTGTAGGTATCGGTTGAGCTTAGGGCCCTCATTCTGTATTGGGGTATGTTGTATAGTACGAGGGGTGTGAGTGAGGAGTTGTGCATTTAATTTGTCTGTGTGGGGGGGGGGGGGGCGGGTGGTGTTCTTGTCATGCGCCTGTGCGTGAGTTTGTTAACAGTACACACACACACACGCACACACAAAATACACGCACAAAATACATGTACACATACACACAGAGACGATAAAGTGTGTGTGTGTACGGCTATTTGGAATGTGTGTCTAGAGTGTATTTGTGGTCTGACATTGCTAACTAGGCCGATGCATCGCAAATGCAAAATCACAAGCCAACCCCTAAAACCCCTAACCCAAAAACTCTAAAATCGGTACTATTATGTCCACTAACTGGTTGCTAAGGCACATGTCCCGGCCTGCACGACAACAGGATCAACGGCATCATCTGTTGCATAAACAGCTGTCCACCTGACACAAGACCACCGGCAAACAACTTACCTTCACAAACTCCTTCGCATCCTTGGCATGCTTCTCATACAGATCATCGGGGAACACAGGCTTGACACTCGCGAGGTATCGCTCGACTGTGCCGTTGATCGACGGTACGGGCAGACGTGGGATGGTGCGTTGGAAACTGTACAACAACGGGTTTTTGCCCATCAGTATTTTAACACCCGCACCCCAGAGCCAGGTCTTCCATGAGGGTTTGCTGGTCTCGTACATCCACCTGTGGACGGATGAGGAGAGTGGTGTGTTAGTCTGGATGTGAGTATTATAGACGTATGTAGTTAGAAGTGTATATGCGACTGTACACTCACATGTGTGTATATATGAATAGTAGCCGTAGCCAACTACAGAAGTGTCACACCCATCGCAGTGGCCAGTCATCTGGGTGTCCACACTTCCGTGTGCTACTCAGGTACACTCGCCTCATACACTCTCATGTGTACGGTATATGGTATCACAACACACTTCACATACAACACACTTCATATACAACACATTTCATTTTATATATAACACACTTCACATACAACACACTTCATATACAACACACTTCATATATATCACACTTCATATACAACACACTTCACATACAACACACTTCACATACAACACGCTTCACATACAACACATTTCATTTTATATATAACACACTTCACATACAACACACTTCATATACAACACACTTCACATACAACACACTTTTAGAATAGGCTTAAACATATTTGTTCACATAGCTCGCATGAAATGTATGCAGACTAAACCGTCCAATAAAACCTCGTATACAAGTAAAGCTATGCCAGGTTACGAGTATGCGAACGAAGGCACATCACAACCTCGTCCAAGATACTTGCAC